TTTCTCATTTTTAGCTCCAATTTTAATAAAATAAATTGTAAAACAACTACAGAAAACATGTATGGCAGAACGGAATAATACCCTACAGTCTTATTTTTAGATTAGTAGTTGGACAAGTGATTGTGACAGGATAAATTTAAAATTTAAAGACAAAAACACAGGGTTAGAAGTAAATGAAGTATATTATAACATAGTATACACATAAATTATTTACAAGGAATTCTCTCTCTCTCTGTCTCTCTCTCTCGCATGAGATGGAAGAAGTATTCCCAATATTGTGGCAAAAACATAACAATATGATGCTACATTTAAGGCTTCAGGAATGACTACTAACTACCGTCTGGGAGTAAACAACTCTTTACTAACGATAGCTTCAAGAAATTCCCGCAAATTATATCGTTAGATGACAGAAATAAAAGGCCTATTCGCACGGTTCATCTTTTTTCTTTTTTTTCTCACGTTAGAGAGAAAAAAAAGGAAAGATGAACTGTGCAAGAAATTCAGCTAAAACGAACAGGCTTAAAGACTGTACTGTTCTGTCCCACGTTTTCCTATAATTATATAACATGTGACGATCAAGTACCTACGAGTAGTTTTCTAGAACTTTCAATTGCGTCTTATGATCATCGGACAAAAAGTAATGATTAATCAATCAATACAATCATTAACTGTGTTATATGCTTTTATGTAATATGAAATTTGCAATTGAAATCTGTCTTAAGTAATCTATAAGGATTTTTCCAGAATAATCAATTACTTTTTAACAACAGCTTCTAGCTGTTTTTTATACCATAAATCTACAATTCTACATGTACATATAAATCTACATATCTCTAAATCTGTGAAATTAATTTCAGTTAATATTTAAATCCCTATATGCTGACTACATTAAGTAACCACTACAGGCTGTTTAAAAGTCGTCCTGCAATTTGGTTAAACATATAAAAAATATAAAATATTGAGTGCGTGATAAAAATTATGTAAATTAAGGCAAGAAATATTAAATGTACTTAACCGCTAACTTTATTATTTAAATTATAAACTAACTTTGTTATTTAAATTTATGAATATCAAGGAAAAAGCCGGAGACAGAGCCAGGCTATCATTAAAACATGATTGATTGTTTTGGAAAATTCCTGAGGAATATTACCGAGAAACCTCGATAGTTCTGTTCGATCCGAATTTTAATTCTAAAGATTCCTTCACTGACGTAGTATCGATGATTCTGCATTTAATGAAACATAATAATTTTAAGTCAATAACAGTAAATTTCTGACGTTAGCACTGTTATAATTACACATTATACAACCGTATTCTACATAAACACAAATCTCGTAACTTGATGTCTCTTTTAAAGTTTCTTTCATTCATACGGAAATTTATGTTTCCACTTATACAAGCTATGCATTTAGTATCTGTGAAAGATATAAGTACATATTATATTTTAAAAGGAGTTTTTATAACTAATTGTTTACACAAATTTAGAGTGCAAAAATCAGACTTTTATGATACCTTTGAATTTTTAATACTGCGGGTTACAATTAAATCCTCAAAATAACTGCTACATTTCTCAAATTTTTTTTGTTAATAACTTTTGAATAAACAATGAGCGCAGGTTAAAACCTTTTGAAGGTCACTCAGGAGGGTGACCTTGACAACATACTAAAATATCAAGGTCATCCAAGGTGATCCCCTCCGTGTGCACAATTGCCTATTCGTCTTTTCTGGACATCCGCGCACTCATTTAAATGCACCGCAAAATCTTCATTTAATTCTTTTGTCTTTGATTATTTCCAGAGGATGAGATAAATATAAACTTAGAAAGAAGAGAGAGAGAGAGAGAGAGAGAGAGAGAGAGAGAGAGAGAGAGAAGCATAGCAGTACTTTCTGTTTGATTTTTACTTTATTTAGTTTAGTACACATTGAAGAGAGCACACAGTGCAAATTATGTCATTTTTGCCCGCAAACAGCGTTTCAGGCAATGTCAAGAGTAAATTACATAATCGTTCTCAAAATTATATCGCGCGTAAAAAATAGGAAACACTATAACATTTAAAATGTCGGAAGTTTTAGACAGTTTAGACCAGAGTTGGATAAGTTAATTTTTTAAAATTAATTATAAATTAAGTTACAGTTAATAAGTTCAAGTTTATGTATTTAAAAATAATTAGTTAAAGTTAAAAATTAACTTATTTTTATATTAGCTAAGTTAAAAATGATTACTTTTTTAACTTTTTAATTTAACTTTTTACTAATTATAACTAGTCACCCAACCTTGGTTTAGACAAATGGCCTACTAAATTCAGCTAAACTAGTCATTAATCGTCTTAACGAAGAAACAAGAAACATTTATTACGAATATATTATGTGTAATAAAATAACAGTAGATTTTTTTTTTAGTGACGCGTGTGAAGTGAGATAAGATCAATAACGTTTATAAATGCAAATGAAGATCACAGGAAAAGGATTTGAGGATGCTTTCTTGCCATTCGTCGTGTTATAATCTGTTTCTTTTATTCCTCTTGCGCACGCGAGATTTCTCCCAACTGATCGCCGCAGGAGCAATTCTTCCGGACGATCACGAAGATGAGGCCGAGATTGCAACCACTTATATTAACGCCTTGCCGCAAATGCACGCCACTTATACTGCAATTTGACACAAACACATTCCCGGTATAGTTTTTCGCCGGTGTAATGATTCCCTTAATCCGTGACGTGGTCTTTACGTGAAAATTCAACGCTCTCGAGATTTACGTATTGTTTCGCATACTTTTTAAACAACATTATATTACGAGAAAATTCTAAAATAGGTCAGAAATTTTATTCCTTGACCTAATTGGAACTGATTTTTTTTAACGAAAATCTACTTTTAAAACTTTTCTATACTTTTAAATTAGCAATAAATAAAAACTTTTAAATATTCCGACGATTTAAAAAAAGATAATTTTAAATTACTCAAAAGATACGCGAAGTTTTGCACATCATAAAATAATCTCTTAGAATTGCCTCATATCTCCTAGAATTGCCACAAAGAAATTATGTAACAAATTGAACGTTGATTTATTACAATAGAGATAACAATTATATTTTATATTTTCTTTTGTACGTATATAATGATGATAATTCTGTGAACTGTAAGAACTGTTGAGAGTTTATATAACGTCACACAGCAGATCCTGCTCTTTCCACGTGCTATCATTCTACGTGCTCTTGTTTACGGCTTATCGTTATCTTTGCTTCCACTTCGCAAGAAAGCTAATCACGTTCTCACACGAGTGAGTATTTAGTCTATGAGATATAATATATCGCTAGATTCGCGCAAAACTAAGTAAAGGATACAAATTGCGTAAGAAGAAAATGTGTACGAGAAATACGTTTATACTATCTAGGCAAACGATAATAAATTAATCAAATCGAGAAAGGTGCATGGAAAGGAAGTTGTACCAAGCATTGAGACACCTGACTCAAACGGGCAGGTCAATGACCGACGATTTCGTAACGAAACCGCAGATCAGACGATTGAATTCGCTTAATTATCGGCGGCCTCTCGCAACCAGGGTCAAGTTCTTCGAAGATCATGCAACAGTTAGAACCTTGACGTGTCTCTCGCTCCTTTCGCGACCGTCGTGTTGCGTTGCGTTATACAGGTCGTAAAACCGCTCGTAAATTACTCGATGTCCTATATTTTAAATAAGCCTTCAAGATCACGTAAAATTTTTTAATGGAATTCCATAATTTCTGTCCGCAAAGTTGCACGAGAAAGTTTATTTAGATCGTCGCGTACGTAAAAAGTACATTTTTACGCGCAGTTTATAACTGCGCTTTGGTCATGCGAATGTCCGAAAAGTCGGTTAGGGTCAATTCAAGCAGATTGGAGGACGCGTGGATGGAGTGGCGTAAACTTATTATTATCTCGATATTAGCGAAGTCGACACACTTGGCGCGGGATAAAAAAAACATAAATGTAGTGGCCCCGAAAGTTTGACGAATTATCGATGATACTTGAAAAAGTTTCCATGCGAGAAAGATTAAGTAATCCGTTAACTTAGTTCTTCGTTTGAAGGATCGAGTAACCTTGGAAAGGTCAGGAAGCAGACGACAACTTTCGCGAAGTGACGGAAACAGCCTTAAATATATAAAAAAAAAAAAAAACGTAAAACTTGGAGCGACTTAGAGGCAACTGAAAGTATATCAATGTTCTAGATCAATCGCTTTAATAAATGGAGAAGTCGTCGGATCTTGACGTGGCTCATCAATTACAAAGTTAAAGTGCGTGCCAAACAAACGTTAGACAATTTTTCTTTTTTAGAAATGAGAATGGTATGAAATATTAATTATCTTTTCCATAAAGAAATTTTTTTAATTTTTTAATTGCAAAGATAATTAACTGTGTGTGTGTGTGAGTATCAGAAACAGTACTTAAACTCCTAAATTACTCCTAAATTTACTGTTTGCCTAGTTCTTACAATTAGTGATATATATTTGTCACAATGGCAAAAACGTTCGGATGGATACGGGGAAATCCCTTGGTATGTATGCAAATAAGATACTTCCTGACGCATATCTACGTATAGCTCGAAATTCCATGCATTATATTATTAACCGGATATTTTGCTATACGTGCTGGACTTTGGACCCCGCTATAACAGGCATACTGTTCAAAGTCTAAACCTAGACCACGTGGACTTTGAATATGTCCCGGTCCAAAAATGTTTCCCACAAAAAAATAATTACCTGTGCAATTAGAAATGTGACTTTTCGGAGAAAAACATCGCAAATAAATTTCGTATTATTCTAGTTCAATGTATGTGTTTATGAAAAACTTTTCTAACGCGTTTAAAATGCCATGTACAAACTACCTTGATAATGAAAGGATTGTATGAATAAGTATATTACATGAATATATTTATTACGCAACAGTTTTTTATAGACTTGTCTGTAAAAATTAATCGGTTCTTTATTGAAATCTTTCTCAGAGATTCTTTATTGAAATCTTTCTTTTATTTAAGTATTTGATTAGTTAATAATTTGTTATGCATCAAATTACACATTTGTAACCCATAAATATTTCTCGAAACGCAAGTGTCATCAGATCCTACGCGATTACATTCTCCTGAAAAATATTTTGAAGAAAATGACAAGTACATTTAATTGTTATCTACTAGTACAATAAAACATCAATTATTCGACACATTAATTATGCGAACGCATACAAATAGAAATTCTTAATTTACATTAAAACTATATGTTATTATATTTATATTATTTTTAAAAATATTTTACTTCTTTCCTAAAAGTTTTATGCGAGTAATTGATAACAAATGCATTATCTCTGTCGAATAATCGGCCTCTCATTGCTGCCGTATAATAAATTCTTTCGTAATAATTTCTCTCGTAAATTGAGATCAATTACTACCGAGCCTTATGCTATCTAGGCACAATTCCATCTTGTCTGCCAGTCATTCGGAAGAACCGCGTGTTGACGTTCGTGAAGATGTAGGGCGCGTTTTCCGTAGGACAGAGCACCTTCTCCAATATTCGGGGCAGTCCCTTTTCCGTTTTATTTCCGACCGGTTCCAGCATGTTGTTCCACAAAAGATTAGCACCTGAAAATAGACCAGAAGCGAATTTATATCACGCGGAAGAAGCGAGAATTTATACTCTTTGCGCATATTTTATTCTATTTTATTTCCGTGTAAAAACGATAATATCGCCAACAGTAGCTGGTATGACGTTTTCTTTCACCATGACTCTTGTTGACACCGTCTAAGAGGCGTTTAATGATATTTCTTAACCATCCACGCTCGTTAATGAACGCGCGCTCGCATTTACAACAAGCCAGCTGCGAGGGATTGATGATTATTTTATTGTCCGTGACGGTGTTCAAATGATTCATTTACTTTTAACTGAATCGCTGAATAATTATTAACGAATTGATCTTAGCGCAAATAGAATTGTTATATAATGGCAAGTTAACTTTGAAATGTCATCTTCATATTATAATATCCAAATGCATTTATGAATATGAATATGAATATAAATACGAATTCATATGTACGAATATATGCATGAATATAAACGGGTCTAACAAAGTTAACAACATATATATTGTACTCGTATTTAATATGTATATAAAATCCTGAGGTTGAACACATTTTTTATACATTGTGTTTATACGTAAATCATTTCGTATTAATTTTTCGAGCATAAATAAATAATTATTTAGAACACAAATGATATAACTATTTTAGGGTTGGAGCTAGTTTAATTGAATATGATTAAAATCCATACATCTTTTTGAAAACTTTATGAGTATAATGAATAATATAAGGAAATAATAATTAAACGTGATCAAGTCGATGCACTGATGTTATTATATAATGTCAATCTTAGTAATTTTTTTTAATTTGCATGAAATAAAAAAAATTTCAAGTTTTAAATAATGTATGAAGTTAGAAATTTTTACAATCTTTACTGCTATTAACTTTACTAATAGAGTATTTCAGTCGTATTAATAACGCAGTTTAAAAAAAAATACCAGAACAAGATTAATTATTTCCTCTCTCTCTTTCTCTCTCTCTCTCTCTCACACGCACACACACATGCACGCACATACGCACACACGCACACACGCACACACGCGCACACACGCACACACACACACACACACATTACATTACATTACGAACGTACGCGCCAAGGTACGCGCACACAAAATTCTCTCGCCTAGTAAGGTGCAACCGTTTTAACATTACGGCATTTTTTCCGATGACGATAGGCGCTGTTCAGTCGATAAATGCCACAAATTTTATAACGTCATTCAGTTTAACTTATTGTTTCACTGAAATAAGAACATGCGTTTATATGTATATCATGATAAAAGTTAATCATCCCTTACCGAGTGCATGTCCTTTCTGACTGAAGTGGAAACAGTCATATGTGACCAGACTGGAGTCGATCGGCGGAGCACGATGAGGATCTGCGTTAGGTGCATTGAATAATTTAATAAATGGCTGCAACACTACGGTGAAGTCTGGAGAATTATCATATCTATAAAGCAAAATAACAATGTTTTTTCTAAGTTTGTGCATACATATATTCTATCAATACGAATCCCAGACAGCACCATGTCCAAAATCGGGACATAAGACGTCTGAAAGACGTCTTATGTCCCGCTTCTGGACAAGTGTGCTGTATGGGATGAATGTACAGTCGACGCTTCATATTCGTGGATCCGTTATTCGCGGTCGACATGTCCTGTGCCCAGACATTATTCTTCTTTATTCGCGGTAGATATTTCAGTGTTCGCGGATATGAATTACTGCACGTGATTGCATTTTAATCATTGCCGCCTTAAGAATGCAAGATATCATGCGGCAATGTAAAACAGCGCTATCGCGCTCTTTCACAATGCATGCGCAGTGTTTTGTTTCCAAGACAAGCAAAGTATTTAATAAGTAGAAAAGGCAGAATTTATTCAATCTTTCAGTATGTAGTGCTTCTGCACATCGTGTCGTGTCCCGTGAAGAATAATATCGGCAAAAGATAAAGCTGAACGCGAATTAAAAGGCAGAAATAAATGATGCCACGTAAAAGATATTAGCCACAAAAACGAGCTTTCCCACGATCTCTGCGAATTCTTTATGGGAAACGATCCGTCTATAGAAAGAAATCTTATTTGTAAAATAGCGGAGGCAATGGATGATTACACGAATTATTTTAAAAAGCTGCAACGTGCAAAGCAAAATAAGTAGATTTTTTAAAACAATTAATAACTAAAATTATTTAAAATTATATGTTAAATATGTTCATACATAATATTGCATATTTTATCATTTTAAATAAAAAATAACATTTTTCTCTTAAATTTTTTTCCTTAATTTAATTTTTTTTGGAACGTACATTTAACTATTTCATATTAGCAGTAGTTGTCGAGTATGCAATGTAATCTCTACGAATAAACAGCGTCAACTATAGATACAACGTATCGCAAATATATATGATTTAAAAAGTAAGTATATTAAACATAATAAAAAAACTTCTCTCAGGTACAATAAATTCTGACGAAATAAAAATTAAAAAAATTAATCTTATTGATTAAGTAAGATACATTTAATTACGTATTGAACATCAATTATACCTTCCTGAGTATACTAAAGTTTCAGCGGCTTGCTGATAGAGTCGTGACATTTTCGACGCTGCAATTTCTGGTTGACTACCCTTGTGCATGCAGGCGCAGTAGAGGGGATGCAATATATTGCACATAGTACTTCGCGTTACTCTAACAGAGACTGTGACATCTGTTAAAAAATAATTATAAATATAACCACATGAGTGAAAAATTCAAGTACATCGTAATTAATATATATGTTGTAATGTATTATAAGATCATGCATTTTTTAAGATCTATAATTTAGAGAGAGAAAGAGAGAAAGAGAGAAAGAAAGAAAGAGAGAGAGAGAAAGAGAGAGGAGAGAGAGCATTAGCTATTAGAATTAGAAAACCTGGTAATATTACAATAATAATGTATACGTTTTTTCTGCTTACGCCTATATAAAATTAAAAATTACTAATAAAATATTAAATTACCTATGGCTGGAACCAAATTGACTAGCGTGCGGGGTAGTGCGATCCTCAAGAAATCAAGCGTCCTTCGTAAATGCAAGACGTAACGCAACGGCGAGAATTGTTGCGGAGCGTAACATTGCGCCGAACAAATGTCGTTAGCCCCAAATAGGATCGTAATAAGCTGGAAATACAGGAAATATGAATAATTAGATTCAAGGGAGAGGGAGAATCAAGGTTTCTTTTTACCAACAAGCGTACGTCGCGTCGCGATAAAGAGATTAGTAAGGTTTATTACCTTCCAATGTTTCTTCACATTTATCTTCGGATTACTTTTAATTCTCTGCACCAGGATTCTCGCTTGGTGCAACGCATCCTCCGTAGCGGCGACTGGGAAGGCGATGTTCAGTTTCGCCGCGGTTGAGATAAACTCTCCCGTTCCGGTGGAATATCCTGTTAATTTGGGATTAAACACCTGCAACGATATGTCGTGATGATGAAGGATATCAGGTTTTTGTTATGCATGAAACATATCGTGCTAGAACAAAGAACGAACGTTTACTCTTGCAAAATTCTTTCACACGGTCTCTGAATTCTGATGAGATGCGGTGAAAGACCGGTGTAACGCGTGAACAAGACGACCTTGAGACATTTTTTGATATTACGTGCATAGTGTATACCTTTAAAACATTGGGAAGAGTGAAGAACCGCCTCCAATCCCCTTGGCCTCCGACGCACCAACTAACTCCGCGCGCCTCGATGAAGGTTCCTACCGCAAACTCCTCTAACGCGCCACTTCCGGCGACCAAGGAATCACCGAGACCACCGATCACATCGATATCGCCCGGCCTTAATCGATGAACATTGTCTGGTATCGACAAGGACCTGTAATGCACGAGAAAAAATTTGGAATTATCCAGACTTGTCATTTATTTAAACTCATCATATTTATCATTAAACGCGATGATAAATCGTATTTATTGACAATATTTACTGATAATAAGTAAAATTTAAATTGCAGTATTTTTTAGCTTTATTTACGCTGAAAATATAAGTATGTAGTTTAATATAAAAAATCGTAGATGTCAACGAGAAGAAAAAGAAAGAAGTAAGAAAAAAATTATTTTAATTGCAGAGAGTTATACCTGCCAAAACGCACGTTGCAAGGGAACGGGACGTTGTCAGGAATTATAGGTTGTTTTCGTACGCCGCCATACCGTTCAGGATATGAAATTCCCATTTCATCAATTTTGTCCTAAAAATTATGCGATTTAAATAATTCGCACATCCGCATTTATTTTATACATGTTCGAAGGTGTTCATATAGACTTTATTATATTTAGATGTAGCTATAAATATTTGCGCGTGGGCCACAATTATGCGGAATTGTTTCGGGACAGAATGCAAAAATTAATGTATGATTTCGTCTACGATTAGTTAATCATATCTTCTTATAAAATTTGCGCGGCCAAACGGTCATAACGCATAAGATGTAATTTCTCCTTTGATGAAGTTAGTGCGCTTTAATGTCACTCCGACCACAATATCTAATTACGCGAGATTCGTATCTTCATTAAAGTGATATTCATCATTCAGATACTCGCTTCGGTAATCTGAGTTTGCGCAACTCGCGAATACGATTTACAGTTTGATTATATACATAATAATATATCGTAACTGTCACAATAACTTTAATTCTTGATAACAGTAGGTACAGTAGGAAGCATTTTTGTCATTAATTAGCTTGCTAAAGATAATATTCACCTTATTGATCGTTATCTGGAAGAAGATATGTAAAGGAATAAAAATTAATAAGGAATAACTACTGTAGATACGTGTACAGTATAAAAACCTAAAGATTTTATTTTCATGTAATTACTGTTATTAGTGAATAATTTAAATTTTGGGAACTCTAAAATTGTTACGGAATCTAAAAATATTGTGATTGATGGAAGATGAGTAAAATTACTGCAACTGCAGATATTTTGGAAATATTCTTGCTAATTGTAAGTTAAACATGCTTGATTCTGCAAATACTCTGCGCAAATATGTATTTAATACATTATTTCAGTTGTAAGAATATATCCTCGGGGCAATCTTTTCACCTGGGATTTTTTTCTGCCAGAGCATTTAAGCCGGTGTCGATTAGCGCATTTAGCATTCGACACGCGTGTACACTCTTGCTTTCTTCGGATTTGCATTCCGCCGCGTCGCGTCACGACTTAAATACTGGCGTATGAATTTGTCGTGGTCATACCATCGGCCGAAAAAGGAACAACGTATTTAGAACTCTTTTAACTGTACAGTCGAATATGATTTGTTTGTCAAGCTTTTAAAGCGCCAGTCTGTACTAGTCATTTTTTATTATTACACATGATATATACTTTGCCACGATGTCATTACGATACATTTTAATCAGTTTGTCTTTTTAGAATAATTTATTAAAAATACTTATTAATTAAAAATACTTTTAGCATTAAAATTTAAGCGTTTAACTCACTTTACTCTGTGAATTTCTAATGCTTATTTCGTGTTGAATTTTCATGAAGGAAAGGCTAAAGTGGTACTTACGAAATGTCGAAGGACGGATTGGAAATTTTGGAAAGTGGTATAGAGAGTGCAATGTGTAGTATACTTATAGGAACTCAAATGTGTTAAAAAAAAAACGGCCCTGAACACATCCGCCACGATAGGAGTTCTTTCCGCGGGTCACAAGGCCGACGAAAAGAAACGTTCCGGCCTTTCTCCGATTGCTCAGAATGCAAAGCATTTTTCTTTTCGAATTGCGTCCGCACTTTCTGGTTTCACGTAACGTTAAACATCCTAACATCGTAACTCATTCTTATTGGATCTTTTAATAATAATTTCAAAAGTTTACTACACTGGTAGTCAGACTGTATAATATCGCATGTTACAGAACGCACAATGATTTTCGTACGTGATATACTACTTTTGCACAGGTTTCCGTGGAATTGGCGCGTGATAATTCTCTGTTTGGCATGAGATTAATAACGCATTCATATTTTACTTGTATCCGACGAAAATGTTTCCACGAATCTGGCGAGAAATTACAAAACGTCCACGTAAAACAAGGCTTGACTTTGACTCGCAAATCACGTGCGATTTCTCGTCTAGCACGGACGTACAGGGGACTTCCTGCATGCAAAACATTTTCGGTAATCTTTTTGCAATAAAAAACCCTCACCTGTCAGCCATTGCCGAAGCAAGTGCAGGACCGATAACTCTCACTTCCGCTCACATGGAAATTAATATTATCGAAATAAGCTTCTCTCCTCGCGTGGCTTTGCTACGTGAATTTATATTCGCATATTTCCCCATTGCATAAATATAACTTTTTATTTGTTCTTATATAATACAAAATTATATGTATATTAATAAAAAAATACACGTGGTAAACGCAAAGAATGATTTGTAGGAAAAGAAAAGTATTAACAATGTGAATATCGATCTGAAATCTTAATTCTGCGCAATTTCAATAACAACTTACCCTTCCCCCTTGAAATACGCTGCGCAAAAAATCCATGAAGAGATCGCACTTGCCCGGATGGATGCCAGCGACGATCAGGAGCAAGGAAATGATTTTGACTCTCATAATTCTTGGCTATTGGCGAGCGTTTCAAAAATTGGCTACCAAAGAAAGTCCCCTTACAATTTTCTTCAGACTTTCCTGTGACTTCGAGTGATAATCATTCCATGTTGGAAGATCTTGTTCGGCCTTTGACTTGGTCGAACGAGACTTCCGCTCGCCATCGGCGCGTTCCCTCCAATCCTACAATGCGAGCGTCTCTAATAGCTCTTCCGCGTCTCCGACTGAAGAGAACTGCAAACTTTGACGTACACGTACAGACCATTATTTACGCGTACATACCAGCGGAAATATCATATTTATAAAGCCGCGACCAGATTCTCGTTTATTTAACGGCGATCGCTCATCGTGACATAGAGAGTTGTTTAGCTAATCTCTGTTGTCTAGCCGTCTAGCATAATCCTTCGTGCGATAGACAATTTTCTGACCAAGCAATATAATAGCAAAAAATTTACAATCTGCAGGTCTTTTTTCGCTTAAGATAAAGTGCAGTCTTGTCTGTATTTTTTCCAAGCAAAAGTCTACAACGAAACTGTGTTTAATGTCTTTAATTATATTTTAAAATATGATTAAAAACGCCAATTAAAATTTTAAAAATTTAATTTTTTAATAAATCTAGAAAAATAGAGAAAATATTAATTTTTTCCTGTACATATTATTTATGCCGACAATAAGATTGGTTTGGAATGAACATTACGGCATGCAATGCGTTAAATTTAAAGACGACGTTAAATCGGTAAGATAAAAAAAGCATTTCCTTTCGCAATGACATTATAATAGTCGCGAGTCTCAATCCTTCGTAGCCTCATTAGCTTCGTTATCTATGAGAAAGTGAACGTCTTCCGGTATTTTGACTAAATTTGGTTTAGCCCTACATAAGCCGTTCGATTAAACGCACATTAAATTCACATTTCTTTTTTACGTCACATTTTGACTTACATCATTAATTATATAATATATCAAAAATGACTGTTCTCTCGGAGGGGGGGGGGGCAGGAAGAAAGAAACCGCTGTCACTCAATTACTCGAACGAAATGTACGAACGGGAATGAACGACGAACAATATGTTTTCGCATAATTTTACAAAGATATAAAAACCGAAAGAGTCGACAAAGACTTTGAAAGCGTCGCTTTACGGAATCCCCTTTGAGAAACATAAGACACACTTTCGCTGATGTCTAAGTTCGCGTTTCAGCCCCCTGGGCATTTTCATAAATCACTCTTCACACCTTTAGAAAATGCAATTTGTCATTTGTTATACACGAAAAAAAGAGTAGGAAACAACATCATAAGAATATTGGGTTACGTATGTATATACAAGTACGCGGGAAACTTTTTACTGTCACTAGAACACGCACATGCATTTAAAAAATCATTTCCGCGAATCAAATGTAATTAAAACTTTTCTAACAATGTTGGTTAAGTATGTTTTTAATAAGTATATTTTGCACAAACTCAACTTATTAACTTTACAATACTGTAAATTATCATATACGGCATATACAATATACAATGTACAATATTGTAATTTACGCAGTGGATACATTAAATATATGAACACATACATATATAAGTATACCTTGCTTTCCGATGATTTCTTATTCCGCATCATTACAGTCACGAGATCAATCAAACGCCGTGTAACTCTTGTTATCTTCCATCTTAATTATATATTTTTTGTTCACTGAATATAATTTTCGTGTCTAAAATTGACCCTTCCAGGGCACGAGACGTTCAATAATTAACATTTCTCTCCTTTCACGTAGAAACTATCCGTGTCATTATTCACACAGGAAACGATAAATCAATTATTTAAGCACCAAACTGTCGCGCCGAATTTGTAATAAATCACGCTGCTTTCGAATTATAAAAAATAAAAATCTTCGCGATTTGTCAATTACGGGAAAGAGGCTCCGCCGATTCTCTTCGCCGGTACTACCGGATGACACTACTAAACATGAATGAAGCGTGTCGAAGAAAGACTCGCTCCTATGCCCATCGATGTGATCCTCCCCCCACTTTTGCGATGAACATATTTACGGTTCCCCTGCATTCTTTCGTATTCCTAGGCGGTAGACGAGGTACGTGAGCAAGAGTGAGTAAGAGACTACAGCCGATGTTACGATAAAACTTTGCTTCTCAAACTCGTTTACAGTGTCGTATCATATACGTATATGTAGGAAGAGAAAGAGAGAGAGAGAGACAGAGAGAGAGAGAGAGAGAGAGAGAGAGAAAAACTTGTTTAAATATTTGTTGAAAAATTCTCTTTGAGCTATTTTTCAGAAATAATATTAAAGATTAAAGGCGCATCATTCACACATACCTCTTGTTTACAATATAATCATAAAGATATTAAATACAGTTAAATTGAATACATTTTATATATTAAATCTACAAGAAATGGCAGATAATAAAGTATTTCACAGATTGACATTATTTAATCCTTTATAATATTGGAATAATCGGCATAATACGAAATAATTTTCTATCCGTATTCCATTTTTGTACTTTAAAGAGTTAATGAATACATCATGGCATCTTGTCTACGCTTAAATAATTGGCACTGCGATTCTGTTCAAAGATTGCGACATTGTGACTATGATTGATGACCTAATAACGCTATCGATACTTTCTCTTAAGCGCCAATATTTCTCGTTCGAATCGCAGCGGCAGTAGAAACACTTTGTAGCTTTGAATTTAACATTGTAGCAAGATAAGGCCTCTTCGGCGTCGGGCAGCGAAATTCATAATTGCTCCATTTCGTCGATTTGGCACCTACCGGTTCCAACAAGTTGTTCCATAAACCGTTTGCATCTGCAAAAAAATAGAAAATCTTGAATCATTTTCTAGATTATTTTTGAACAACTAAAAATATTTTTAATACACATTTTAAAGTTAGTTAATTTTGCATGAAACATATTTGAAAATTTTTACAAAATTTAAACTTTTTTAATACTAATTAAAAAATGCAACAGAGTTAAACTCGATGCTACAAAACGACTGTTGCAATTAGGCAATTTAAATTTTGGGGACTGATCAAACTAGTCAAACTGGTATAATATTACCAGTTTGACTAGTTTTCTCACATTATTACATCATTATGATATTTAGAAATGTGAGAAATTAAGTGCATCTTACGTGTTTATTTTTACATTTAGGTTAAATATAAAAATAAAATATAAATATAAAATATAAAAATTTAAAATATAAAACTATAAATAAAATGAGTTTTTAAATATAAAACTGTAAATAAAATGTTTTTTTTTTTTTATATAAAACTATAAATAAAATGCGTTTTAAATATGAAAGATCACTGGTCAGTTTTTTAATTATTAGGTAACAAATTTCTTCTTATATAAGAAAATTCTTAATAAACTTACAAAGAGCGTTGGTCTTTTGACTAACGTGAAAACAATCGCTACTTAAATATGTCATATCGGAGTACCCATCTGAAGCAAGTGGAATTTTTAAATTCACCAGGATAGGCTGAGCTACGACTGTAAAGTCATCTTTTTGGAATTCTGGATAAGTAGCGATTTCCATATCTAGCTTCTGCCACCTAAAATATATTTCCAAATTTTTAATCAATCCGCAATTTGCTTTTAACGGTACAAGTGATACTTTCAATAAACCAAGCTAAAATTAATTTTTAATGTCGCACATTGATGCCAAACACGTATTTTTTACTTAATGTCATATCGGATTATTTAAACAGATAACTTTGCATTACCGAAAATAATTATATTAACATTTAATAAATAATATACTCTAGATTATTTTCTGTTTTATTTTACGTTATTACGCTTACTGTCGCATAATGTCGTAATACATAGATCTAAAACGCCGAAATGCCAGACCAAACATGCAAGAACACTCGACGTCCGTTGTGATGAAACAATTAAGCGATGGTCTTCCTTCACGTGTCTCGACTAAAGCCTTTAAATGTGGTGGCGGAATCAATGCCACGAAGGTTCGCGGCAAATTATCTCTTAACGTTCGCAAAGCTTGGAGTAGATCAGTTTTATGTGTTTCAAGAATTGACCACGGCGATGGAATCCAACACAATTCACTGCAAAAGTCATTGGATCCGATCATCAGCGAGATGAACTACAAATTAAATTTTATTATCGTCGATATATATGTTTAATAAATAAGAATGCAAAATTTTTGACAGCAAAGCGATATATTTTATTGTAAATACAGCATATTAATGAAAATCTCGGAAAATGTTACACAATTATGACAGACGATAAATAGTTCCGTCAAATTTTTATCGTCAGAAAAATCAGTTTAAAACTATAAAGCGTGATAATTAACTTAATTGCAAGCAATAAAACGTGTCCATGTAATGACACATTTGCTGCTCCTCTCGTTTCTCTCGCTGTTTGCAACAAATTGAATCTGTCTAGTCTAGTGCAACAAACCTTCCAATGTTTCTGCACATCTATCCTCGGATCGTTTTTAATTCTTTTGACTAATATCTCCGCCATGTAAGCTATATCCCCGGACTCAGCACCGATTTCGGCAACATTCAATTGCGATGCCTTGTGAATCGTCAAAGAGTCTCCCAATGCATATCCTATCAAATTGGGGTTGAATTCCTAATATAATGAAAATTTATGATGACTAATTTGTACACACGCACATTGTTAGATCAGCCTTTAGTGTTACATTACTTCCTTTCTTTCCTTCTCAAGACGTAATACAACTTTTCTTATCTAACTTATTGTTATAGTATCCGTCTTTATGTTAATTTTTTAAATTACAAATCTGTCACAAAAAATCATGTATTTAATCATAAACTTTCTAAGATTATTTAATATAAAATAAGAGTAGGAAGAAGAGAAATAATTTTCGGTTAGATAAAGACATTTATTAAAGTAAGGAAATAAATTAGAGAGCGAATAAAGAGGTCATAATTTTAAATATTGCTCAATGATGATTATGATAACGATCTTATTAACCGATATAACGTCCTGAATTATATTAACTTTCGCTCGACATTGCTTAATATCCTGGTATTCTATTTTACAAAGTAAGGTTGTTAGCATCAACACTACTTCAGAAATTTTACGAAATATAAAATTTCCACATGGGATAAGGGGGGAATTCCCTCTTCAAAGCTCTCCTCCGCTAATTACACATCCGTCGCTCTCGCATAAGGTCACGTAGTATCCCTAATGGTGTAAAGAAAGTCTATTTTTCTTTTTATTACATAATTATTACATAACAGCACTGCAAATCCAAGTGTGTTAGCTGTTTTTACACAATTCTTATCGTTTTAAATCACGTCATTTAACACGATTGAACGTATTAACTTTTAATTTAATACGATTAAACGCATTGAATGACGTAACTTAACACATAAAGAAACGTGTAAAAAGACTTCAGTCTAATTTTATTTTTGGACGTTTATGCGTGTAAAAATAACACACTTGGATTTACAGTGAGTATAATACGAGCTTTGAAGAAAAAATATATTTTAGGAAGATATAATGTGTAAATCACTTACATGTACATTATTGTACATTAGATATAATGTTCATCTTTACAATAAAAAATCTGTTTCTAAAATGTCATATAACGATATTTACTATTAGTCAGGTATGATTGATGATTGTGTTGGTAATCCTCCGTTCAAAAATTTAAAGTTAGCAAATTGCAATTTTACATGCATAATATATGCGTATAATGTCTATCTAAAGTATAAGACGCGTGCGCGCGACTGAGGATCGGAGGTAATCATTGACGAAAGTCCATAAAGAAGAAGCAGTTGAACATTGTGATGATCAGTGATGATATGTTAATGTCATGTTGAGATCCTATTGCAACAATTCTTTCTGCGTTTGTCACGTTTCTTTAAATCGTAAAACCAAAGGTGCTGCATTACGTACTACGGAGAAAATGTCGATTACCTTGTCATTGTTTTACCGATGTGACGCCGAGAATTATGGCATATTTCAAAATTGATAATGACAAATCGTGCGTCGCGGCTCGTGCACAGTTTTCGCAAAAAATTCGCGAAGAGATAAATTATCCTAATGGTGGTTATTTTTCAAGTTACTTATTTATATTCATATATGAGTATATTCACATATGAAGTTTTGTGATCAAACAAATTGCTATTAAAAAATTATATAATAAATATGGAATTTCATGGAAATTTATGGAATGTTACATAATCGGCAATAAATTTTAAGCAGTCGAAACTTAAATTTATGAAATATGCAGAAACTGAAATACACGTGTGTTTACAAGTGCGTACGGTAACAAAAATGTTTAATGTTCTCCAATAATGCATTTATGACTTTACATTATTACCGTATACATTCACTGCAAAATCCTATATAAATGTGTTATTTTAGCTGAAGCTCTCCTTTTAAAATTCTTGTCGTTTTAAATCACGTTATTTAACACGATTTAACGGATTAACTTTCAATTTAATACAATTAAATATGTTAAATGACGTAATTTAACACATGAAAAAACATGTAAAATGAGCTTCAGTCAAGTGTGTTATTTTTAGATGTTTATGAGTGTAAAAATGACACACTTGGATTTGCAGTGTTAATGCAAAGAATATTAGACTTTACTATAGTTTTAAAGATTTTAATTAAGATTTGATAGATTTAACTGCCATGATTGGCTGCCATCAATATCTTAAATCTCCATTTCTCATAATGTTTTATGCATATTGCAATTTATTCAATAATAAACGTTATAACGTTGTAAGGTTTGATTGCCTTACTTTAATGATATTGGGAACAGTTAGATATTGTCTCCACGTGCCTTGGCCTCCGCCAGCCGCAGTAACTCCTCTATTTTCTATGGCAACCTGGAGCAGACTGCTTGCAAAGATTCCAGCTCCAGCCGTAAGAGAATCGCCCATCGCGGCAATGACATCGATATCACCCGGTCTTAGTTTATGCACCGACTTTGGCACTTTTGACGATCGACCACCTGAAATTTATTGTCAGTCGTGTAGCACTCCTCAAGTACACGATCTTTCGCATTTCTATTATCTTTTTTATAACAATTTAATTAATTGTACAACTTTCAATCGACTATTCTTCAATGAAAACGTCGATATATACGTTCTTATTAGCGATTGAGATAAAATCACACTCTTCAGTTACATAAACCTTGTTTTGTAATAACATTTTAATTCGTTATACATATAAGATTCTTGTTATTAATATATGTGATATTGAAAAATAAAAATTGCAATGAAATAATTATGTGCGACGATTTTGCTAAAAGAAAAATTCAAGTTAGCCAAACATGAGACGTATATAGACATCAAAAGTATTGAACTAGGAATAAAATGCTTTACTTTTTAAGAAAAACCATTGACATGTAAAGAAGCTTCACAATTTTTAATGACTGTATTTTTAATAATTTAAGATGTATAGTACTAATTATAAAGAGACAAGACAATTATGACCAGAGGAACAATTATCGATAGGGAAATAAGAAATGGTAATAAATTTTTGTTTTCTACCTGTTACATTACAAGGGAACGGAACATTGTCGGGAATAATTTTTTGCACTTTGTTTGCGTCTCTTGCTGCTCGCAAATACCTTTCCTCTATTCCTGTTCTACCTGCAAGAGTAACAAGTTATACGTTACAATTTACAGAGAAATTTATACCTATAATACATATGGTCATACGTACGGCCATAAATTTTGTTCTTAAGAAAAATGGATTTAGTTTATAATTAAAATATAAAGCAGTATGAAATGTATACTCGTTTTATTGAATTAATTAATTACAATAAAAGAATAATCATAACTATTAAAAATATTTATCAATCAAAGAAAGATGGAGCGTGGAGCCGTAACAAGGTGTTGGTGTTCATATATTCTATACTTACGTATAAAGAAATAACGAATTGTAATGTACACACCGTACATGGTACATATATTCCAATTTAATAAACTGCGCGTCGCAAATTTGTCGGACTTAAAACACAGCTATCTTGGAACATTAATCCCTACTCCGGAATTAAATCTACACGATTTAATTGTTTTAAAAAACGTAAAAAACTTATTGCGAAAAATATTACCTCAGCCAGGATTCGAACTGCGCTTAAAAATATTTATCTTTTACTTTTACAAATGTTTTCAAATAATCGGGCTTTAAACGCTCACAGTATGCAGAACCTTGACGTTGTTATCTTTACTAGAATAGCCCTATTTTTTTATTATCATTAAAAAATTTTTTATTACAAATATCGCGCATTTGTAATAGGAAAATTATCGTTATCGTTTTAACGTTTTTGTGTAGCTTTTTTACTACCTGCTCAACGATAATATAACGACAACTGTCGTTAAGAGATCAGCCTTCATCAATACCTTGATATAAGATGTAAAACAAATTTTTTCATCTAAAAATAGTGTTGATACTTATTGTTTTGCTGCAAGAGTTTAAGCTAGATTGTTTGAAAAAATTTGTAAAACTATGCAATGGACATTAGAGTTCGATCAAAAACTCGGTTTTGGTTTCGGTCAAAAATCGAAGTTTTGGTTGGGTTTCAGTTTCGACAAAAGAGAGTTTCGAACGTAGCCGAACTGTTTATTTTCAACAGATTTTCCAAAAACTTGTTTAAAAAATTTTTTTTATTTTATGTTTAGTTTTGGTATTATTGACATAATATGATTGTGATACTATACGGATAGTATATACTAGTATATAGCATACTATAGATATATAGGTTGTGATAATAGGATTGTAATAGTAGCATTATGATAATATGTGTAATTATTATTTTGATAATTAAATTATGATATTTATAAAGAAAAAGTACGAGGGTTATTCGAGTCAAACCGAGACTTTGGACAGGATATAAAACCAATGTGATCGCGACGAGTTTTTTTTTTTATAGTGGTAAGTGGCAAGTGGTCTTCTATCATCGGTATGCGGCGCTCCTCTTGCGTCAATTGATAATTAGTATGCAAAATGTCGGACAACAGTGTTAACGCACATATAGAACAGCGAATTATTATGAAGTTATTGGTGAATAAAGGTGTGAAACCGGCGAACATTTACAAAAGACTTAAAGACAGCACAGTACGATGACGAGACAATTAATTATAGCCGCAGTAAAGCATTTGAATGCATTTGATATGCAAACAGTTTAAAGATGGCCGTACATCACACTGCCCATTGCACTACTTCGAGCGATTTTCATCTTTTCGGACCTTTATAAAAAACTTCTTGGGAGGCCAACATTTTAGAACTGACGACAAGGTAAAACACGCTGTCCGATTTCGGCTCCGGCGTACAGACAAATCTTTTTGTGTTACTGGTATCCAGGCATTATAGTGAAACGCTGTGAATTTATGTAATTTGATATTTTGATCTCAAATACAAGAATTATGCGATTAATAAAAAAAAAGCGAAAGCAGCTTGCTGCAATAAACACAGAAAAATATTTACCAAAACGAACAGAAATACCGTCGCTAAATAATGATAAAGTACAGAATAATGCGATCCTAAATGTAATGTGGTACGTGCATCGAATTATACCGGACAGAACAATGAATTATGCAGAAGAGCACCTAAACAAAATAGGAAGGAGTATCGCGGAGACGCGAGTTACATTCGTTTGCCGCGTTTACCGGAAAGAAAATCGCTTCCTTCAGACTACGTCGTACACACTGTACGCATATTCATTATTATTTCTTTTTTAATCAAAATTAACCAGTAAAAAACACGGAATAAGCTTTACACAATCATATACATCAATATAGAGAATCTCGATATCTATTTAAAATATCTTTCGTGACAAAAAAAACTCAACAAGTATCGCCTGAATGCGCAAATAGAAAAGTACTTAATAATTATCATTAGATAATCATTAGGTAATCTTACACACTACAACGCGCAAATTACATATATCCTTGAAAAATCATATCGTATCGTATTTTTGCAGCTTCGTATGTATTTGCATATTTAAATGATAGTTTAATTGTTCGAAGCGGTTTTATCTATACGGAAAAATCAAGATAATTACGTACGCGTTTTATTCTCAATGCAAATGCATGACATGTTGTGGAAGCATAAGTCACTGTACCATTCGTATTGTCTCGCGTGTCGTATCCTAGAATATCGTATCTGTATAATAAGACAGCTCGCGGCGACACGCATGATTTGTCATGTAGAGGTTTTAGGTTTTAACCGACACTGGCTATCAATTAAAATGTCGCGCATTTGTAATAGGAAAACAGAAAAACAACCTTTTAACATGAGTCAATAAAAATTACCTGTAATAATAATAATAATAATAATAATAATAATAATAATAATAATAATA